GTAAGCCTACATGAATGTATCATAGTTCTGGATAGGATATTTGATATCTCATTTATTTCAGTCTCAAATGATAGTGAGCTGTAGTTAATGATACTTAGCATTTTTTTTGATACTTAGCATTTTGTTAGGTTTTGCAGTGTAGCTTCTTCAGTTCCTGTCTGTGTATCAATGGACTCGTCCTTGTGCTTTCCCATAGGTGCCCTGGTGTTTACTGACATAGATCAAGATGCTGTGTGGCTGTATAGAGGACTCTGAACCATTTGACTGTCTAGGCACATGCAGTTAGCTCATATTATTTAAGCCCTGATCTCAGCATTCTAATTTCTCTGTATTCCCCAGTGTATATAAGAACTTGCTTGAAATTAATTATATATTGCTTGCACATTATTGCTGCTAAGTTTCAGTACATACTAGTATCTTCCATTTAGTCTGCCTTTCTCTGATTGCCCTCAATCAGTCCTACCTTCTCAAAACTGTAACTCAAAAGTCATGCCCTGTAGAAAGCCTGATTAGTCTCATTCACCTGATTCCTTTGAGACTTCTGATTCTCAGTCCATTAATCTGTTGTGGTTTTTCTTTGTAATTGCTCCTTCTGTACACTGTCATACAGCAAGCATAATGATTCTAAGAATGATGATCATCCTTGGTCCTCTTGTCTTTATTATACAGAAACATTTGAAGGACTGAGAACCTTTTCAATTTCCCTTGAGTTCCAGCTTACCTTCTATACTCCTTCCCTTTACTTCATAATTATACTACAGGAGAAACAGGCATATGTTCAGGGCTTAGCCTCCACCTCAACATGTGTATGGCAGCCTGCTGAATAGGTCTCTACAACTGGGAAGGATTTAACCCTTTGGTTGGACTATCTCTTCATCATACTCAGACACCTTCAAGTATATGTGAGACCAGTAGACCTGGAGATGGGAGTAGGGATAGTTCTACTGAAAGCCATTTTAGCTTTTTCTTTCCTTTTCACACAAGACCTATGAAGCTGCTGCTGTCAGCAGCTCACCCCACACTGCAGCTCTACCTCTTTTCCAGGAGTCAGGGTTAGTTTAAGAAAAAGCCTCTTGCTGGAAGCCACGACCTCATACTTTTATCCCCTCCATCTGGTGTGTGGCCCCATGGGGCTGTGCTGCTATGCAGGAGGTGAGCAATGGAATTCTTTAGATGATGACTTCTGAGCCCACATGCGGAGGCTATGGGGGAGGGAAGCAGGGAGAGCAGTGAGAGCCAAGATCGATGGACCAAAAAGTGAGGTTTGCTCCAGGAGAAATCTTGGCTATAGGTAGACTATTTTCATGAGATGTTCTTCCCCTGGCTGAAGTGGGGGCCCAGGTCAGGGAGCTGTAGCATCCTAGGTCTGTGATTGATGAACGCTGTATCCCTGCAGTTTTTCCTTCTGCCCTCGCAGTTAGAGTTGAAGAGTGGGATAGGTGGGGCATGTGAGGGCTCATGCTGTCTCTCACAGAGTGCATTCCACGATTTGACCAGGGAAGGGTTCCCCTTGCACACATCATCTCTTGGAGCTGCTTTGTCTCACTGTCTTGAACCTACACAGAAGTCTGGATTTTGAATGAGGGTGGGAGGAGGGGTTGCAAGCAGCAAAAGTTTTAATCAAGTGGAAATCTGTTGTCTGCCTCATCTTGCAGGGGCTTCTCTGCAGGGTAGATACCCCTTGCCTTGGTGTAGATAAATTGCTTATCTCAGCTGGAGGGCCCAGAACTTTACTAGGCCATGAGTAGGTATCTGGCCCAGGAAAGGATGATTTAGCACTCTCACTCCTTGTTCTTACTTTCTTAACCCAGGGGTTAAGAGCATTTTTAAAATGAGTGAAGTCTCAAAAGAAATTCTAATACATACTTTAAAAGCCTAAAGCCTCAATAATTTCCTTCCATGGTTTCTCATGACTTCTGTCTCTGCACGTTTAGCATCACTTTAGAAGAACTAGATAATTTAAATCAAAATTTTAAGTGCTAATCTGAAGAAAAAGGAATAGAAAGAACTAGGAGCCAGAGCTGATGAAATGTGGACTTAGCATAGCGATCATTTGGTGGTGGTAATGGCAGGAATGGCAGAAGGGGACTCATGGACGAGGTTAGGGAAGGCCCAGGCTGTTGCTTTAATTAATTCTGCTCAGTCATATTCCCCTAGAATATTTTGTATCATGCTCTGGGCATCCTCTCTCTTTAAGGAGAGTTCAGATGATTTAAAGTCAGAAGCTGTGGGTTTGAGTTCTGGCTGAGCCACTCAATCTAGGTAACCTTGGACAAATCACTGAGCTTCTCTTAACAGCACCTGTATAATGAGAGTTAACTCCTACCTCATAGAGTCAGTGTGAGAATTGTGTATATAAAGCATTTTGTACATGAAAAGGCTTTTTATGAACATCATAATTATTCCTGGGGAAGCCCCACCTTGAAAGCTGTCAAACAAGACAGCTGTGGACTAAACTTGTCTTCCTTTTTTCTTCACTCAGCTTAGCTTTTCTGTTTGGTCAGGTCTGCTCACAGGAGCTGGTAGTACTGAGTAAAGTCACAAAATTTTGGTTCTTTTTGGTCAAAGAAAAATTCACATGTCCAGCTGCTCCATTCATACGCTCATAGGCAGAATGGAAGTGAGCAAAGGTAATTTTGAAACTAGGATAATTCAGAGTTAGGAGGCCAAAGGGAGAATGCTTACCTTGTTTTCTCAAACCCAGGATGACTGAAATGTCTTAAGTAAATGAGGAATAGCCACAGATGCTCAGAGATAATTTAAGCCATGAATGGAAAGTAGAAAAATGTGCTTATAAACTCTCCCTCTCTTCTATCCCTTTGACCTTTGAGGTCAGGGACGCATATTACTGACACTCCACTGGCTGTGCCATGAAACCTGCCAATCACCCTAAGAGAATAACAGCTTCTGGGACAGCTCTGTTCAGTGCAGAAATTGTGACATATTCACCCTAGTAGCCACTGCTTGCTCCCACAAGAGCCTCTCTTGTGGAGATCATCTCTGGAACCCAAAACTATCCTGTTTTCTAACCTGATAAGAGTTAAAAACATCAGCAGGTCATGAGCAGTAGACTTGGTATTTATACCTTGTGCAGTCCTAAACTGCCCTGTCATCCATAGCATATAGGGCACAGGTCATACTCTGGTGTGAAGCACCCATGGGAGGTTTTACAGTCTCAGCCATTCTGCATGGGTGGTGATTGTCTACCAGTTCCTAGGGGAGTACCAGTCCCCTAACCAAACAGATGCCTGCATATGGATAACATAACTCTTAATATTCCTTGGTTATTAGCTGAACTCCTATTGTTTGTATGATTTCTGAAGGATTTGATTAAAATCTAGTTGACTTACTGTTGGGGAGAGAAGGATGACTAGAACTCTGATGCAGCCTGAGAGAAGCTGTATGTATGTCCATATATGTGCATTTCATGTATGCATCTTCACAGTTGTGCACAGGCTGACTGGGAGAAGAAAGAGTAAAAAGAAAGCATCTTTCTCATTTCCCAACATTGCTTCTAAGATGCCCCACCCCCGTAGTAGCAGGCAGTTCCCAAGTGGAGGGTGGGGGCAGAGGCCTCCACCAAGGCTATCAATAACCAGGTGTGAGCTACAGGTCTCTGTGTAATGTGAAGCTCTCCCGTATTTCATTTCTGCACCCAGGGGGCGGCTCTGCAGGATTGCTTATGGAGAGCTCTGTGTCTGGCACCTCTCTCCACAAGGCCCAGGAGCCCAGGGTCCCACCGACCTGCCCAGGAATGCATCACATTGTTCTCTGGTGCTGTAATTTGGCTGTAGTAGCTAGGCTGACGGCCTCCCAGGGATGAGAAATATACTGTCCCTGGCATCCTCCCTGAGGCTTCTGCCTTAGGACCATTAAGGGCATTTAAATAAAATCTCAGAAAGACTGAGGAAAGAAATCCTGATTATCTCCCTTTCATTAAGCCATGTCGAAACCAGTGTCCTGAGTGGGTCCGAGAATCTTGCAAAGAATTTAGTGGTTGGTGGTCTTAGGGAGGTGAGAGAAAGAAGAGATTACTTCCTCCTGAGGGAGGAAGAGAAATGAACCAACGGGTGGTCATGAGTCAGACCTATAAGACTTTTTGCAAACAGACCTTCAGGGCCAGGCAATGTTTGATTTTTAAAATAACCTGATTTCATTTTTCCAGCATCACACTAAGTAAGACTATGGGTTAGTAATATTATTCAAAGCTAGCAATAATACTAGTTGGCTCTTATCTGTAGTACTAGGTTAAGGCTGGCATTCTTACTTTTACATAAGATAAGGCTTTTACATACATTAGACTGTGTAGCTGAGGTACTTCAGTCATGTGCCTTCTCTGAAAGATTCTAAAATATTTAGAGGATAGAGATAATGTTGTTTAAGTTAACTTTGTATCCAAATAGCATTTTCTGTAGTGCTTCATAACTAAGTATTAAAAGTCAAAAGAAATGAGAACCAACAGGAAGGGGTGGAAGAGAGGAGAGAGGCCAAGAGACTGCTAATCTGAGGGACAGACCTCTACTTAAGAGAGGAGGGATGGGAGAGGGAAAGATTAAAGGCAATGAGTGAGTAGCAGCAGAACTAGATGGAGCCCTGACTGCCCCAAATAAAGTTCTCATTTTGCTGTTTGTTCCAAATAAATTAGTTTCTGTTTGTTTAGTGCAGAATGGATGCCAGTTGTCTAAAGCCAATCAGAATGTAGAAGCAAGCTAAAGAATAAGAAGAAAAATGAATTGCTTGACCATCATTCCTTCTTGGGACCACATAGCCTCTGTAGTAGGGTACACAAAGACCTCTTTTCTGTTGCTATCCACCTCACTTTTCAAACTCTCAGGACAGTTTTCTCTTCCCTTAATCATTTATAGGAAATTGCAAAATTTGGGTCTTTATGAATTAGAATTTGGAGCCCAGGGAAAAGCACAGAACAGTATGAGATGCTCGAGAGGCTCACTTCTTTCCACAGGGTAAGAACTGAAAAAGAATAGATAACAGAATACAGGTAGATTTAACTCAGGTTGATTTCCCATGGAAAGTTAACATTTATGATTAACATTTATGTGGTAACTACCCAGATGTTCTTGTGAGAGCAGATGCTGACTCGGACCTGAGTCCCTTCCCAGTGTCCCAGCATACAAGACAACACCCTTTTGTAAATTCATTAAACTCTAGGAGTTCAGACTGACTATATGCCCCTTATCTCCTGAGTACTCTAAAGCTTTCTTCCTCAATCCCAGCTCATGGTGTCAAAAGCTCCCTGCCCCCCCCAATTTACCCCCTCTCTAACTCACTATTGGCTCATCAGTTATCCAGTTGACTCTACTTTGCAAGGAAGACATTCCCCTGTCCTGACTCACTTAGAACCATTTCTCCACAGGAATCCCCTCACTGCAGACCACAAGGGCCCTGACTAGCTTATGTTTTGTGTTAATGGATGTGAAACCAGAGCAAATCCCCTCACCAGAAGAAAACCACCCTAAACTCTCCCACATGGGTCTCAGCAGGTTACACAAATATTAGTCCTATCATCTAAATAAATCCTCTTCCATGGTCCAGAGCTATGGCTCCCTCATCCTTCTGCTGCCTGTGCACAGTGAAGCTGTTCCACAAACATGTGAGGACCCCAAGGGATGTTGGAGAGGAACTTGGGAAAGGGAAAGGAGGGGGGCCTATATTTGGAATTCCTTGTGTATGCCCCTTAACTTACAGCCTGTTGTCAATACTTCATAGTTATTAACTGGAGGTTCTGAGAGAATTCATGATGTGCTAACCCAGTTATGGGCTTTGGTAAGAGTGTCGGGTGGCTGGCATTTGGGGCATAATTAAAACTCAGTATCCAAGATAGGATCATTTTACAGATGAGAAGATAGAGGCCCAGATAATTTGGATTATCTTGCTCAAAATATCAAAAACAGTAAGTGGCGCAGTTGTGATTTCAACCCAGGTCTGTCATAACTGCAAATTTCTATACCACTCTGCTCTTTTAAAATATTAACAGGCAAAAGACAGCCATTGTCCAAGTCACATAAAAATAGGGCATCACTGTTTTGGGGGGATTCTGTATCCTACCCTCTAGCTTACTAAGCCTCCTATCTCTGGAGACTCTACTACACCAACTTAGTTAAGCAGTGGAGGTAGCACAAAAGGAGCTACCCTATTGAAGGCAGACATGGAGTGAACAATAATAGTCACCAAAACTTGGAGAATCACTAAATAAAGCTTTGTTGAATAAATGGGTAAAGGCTACTTGCTAAGCTGCTGTTTAGCACTTTGGCCCCAAGCTCCAGCTCTCCTTTCCTCTGTAGCCACAGGCTCCTGCTCCCAGCTTCAAAGGCTAAGAGCTTCTCCTAAATATCACCAAAGCCAGAGATCACCACCTGCCTTGTATACACTGATGCCTCATGTGGGCCCTTGAGATCAGGCTTGCTACCTTCTCCTCACTCCATGAGTTACATGTCTTTTACTCAGTGTTTGCCAAACCTGGTTGGTCACCAGAATAATGCATGGAAAACTTAAAAGAAAAAAAAACCAAAAAACAAAACCCAAAGCCTAGGCAGGCTTACAAAATTACTCTTTCTCAGGAGTGTTCCAGGATATTCTAGTGATCTGTTAGGCATGGGAACCACTGCAGGCCATTCAGTTTGAAGAGGCAGCAAGTGAACAAAGACGCAGTGCTCCCTGATACAGGTTGAAGAGAAGAGTGATGGGAAGAGAATGTATGTTTGTATAAATAAAGTTTTTCCCCCTACAAAACATAGCCATTTATGAACATACGACCATGTGAAAGGAACTTTGTTCACTATGGTTAACTCTTATCTAGCAATCTTAGCCTCTTGATAATGGAGAATGTAGTAGCCTAAGAGTTTCTTTTGGGGTACCAACCATTCTGCCCAAACTGACCCAGGGAACAGCTATGTGGTTTCTTATCTGTCCCATCCACCCTCACCAGGTAGGAACAAAAAAGAAGCTCTTTTCTCAGGTATCCTTCCTCTTGCACAAACAAGAAGTGTCAGGAAGCTAGTGCAAGGGAAAGGAAAAATGGCCTTCACCATGTGCATTAGTGCAACTCCTATCACTCTGAAGACCTTTCCCTTTCTTCCACTTTCTCCTCTAGCCTCCTGAGGTGGGGCACGCAGGAAGCTGCTCAGTTTCTTACATCCCCTGTCAACTCCTTCCCAGGGCTAAGGAACCAGCCAGGACACCAAAGTCCCTCTGGATTACTCTCCAAATCCTTAAATATAAGCTTAAAATAGCAGCCCAAGGTTGAGGGTGGAGGGAGGTGTGCATGCAAAGATCTTGTGCTTTTAAGTCAGGAGGTTTGAAGTAGAGGAACAGTGAGGTATTTATATGTTCAGGTCTGGTCCAGCCATTCTGCCTTCTTGGGGGCCTTGCATGTGTGGACATCCACAGTGTTTCTGCACTCCTTGCACCGGACAGCACAGCACCAGTGGAATTTGCACTCACACTGGGTGACACGGGTGACTCGGGTTGTGTCATATCCTCGGCCGCAGCACATGATTTCACAGCCATCTGTCCCTTTAGATGTCTTGCTGCAAACACGGCCTGCAGTGCCTAGGGAACCTGGGTTGGGGACAAGAGAGAGTGAGAATCAACTTAACTCTTACTTCAGCTGCCCTGGGTTCCTTTACCCACATCCTCATGAGGAAACCATAAAGAATCCTTTTTCCTGAAAATATACCCACTAGCCAAAATGACCATCTCATCACTGCCTTCTGTACCAGGCTTGTTCCTTCCCACCATCAAGACTTCCCAGAGACCACTGATTTCACCTGCAGTGCCCCTCTGGCCAATACACATCTCTATATTCCCTTCCAAAACCAGCCTTAAAATGCTCATAATTGTTAAAGCTGGGTGAGGGCTCTCGACTTGATGTTTGAAATTTTCTGTTTTAAGTTAAAAAAAAAACCCAACATAGCCTATAATTTATCTTTTCCAAGAAGTCTTGCCACAACTCTGATTCAGCTACCACTTCTTAGTATTTGGTCCTTAATTTATATCTTATTAAGTTGTACTATTTAGGGAAGTAGTATAGCATGTCCATTAAAAGCATGGGCCTGATGCCAGATTGTCCAGGTTTAAATCCAGTCCTTCCACTTCTTAGCTGTGTGATTTAGCACACTGTCTGGGCTGCAGTTTTTCCTTTGAAAATAGGCATAACAATAGCATCTAACTCAGTGGATTGTTGTAGCTGTAATCTCTGTTCAACTGAGGAGGTGAACTCATGAGTGTGACTGGCTAGAGGCACATCCCTAATATGTAGGAACTCTTGATGAATAGGGATGATGTAGTCCCCCTGCAAAGAGAATGCTCAGGACGTCATACTGTCTGATTTTAGCAAAGGACATCCTGTCAATAGATCATAAAATCATAGTATTTTGGAGGACTGGGTCTTAGTATCTACTCCAGCCCTTTCCCAGAGATGGTGAAGTGGCTTCCTGGGGGTTGGAGAAGAGGAATAGATTAATTGATTTCTATAGCAGTATTGTCTCCACATTCTACTAGGATATAGGAAGAAAATGCCAGAACTTCTGTATTCATTTTCTATTTCACAAATTTAAAATACCTATTTTGTATGTATGTTTATAATGTATATATCAGTACAGTGGAACATAGGTATAGTTTATATTGGAAGTACATGCTCAGATATTTTTTTTAATGATAGGAGTATACAATCCAAATGTTAGGAGACCACTGCTATAGAGTATGGGCTGATGAGGTCTCCCATATATGGTATTCTCCACACTCCAAGGGCTGGGTCTTAAGTCTTTCTCTTATGTACCAAAGGCCTCTTCTGCATTTTGGAGCTGAGCTGTCCAGTGTAGTAGCCACTAGCCAAATGTGATCATTTAGATTTTAATTAATTAAAACTAAATAAAATTTAAAATGGAGTTCCTCAGTCATACTAGCTATTTTTCAAGAATACAATAATCCCATGTGGCTAAGTGGCTGCTGTACTGGGAGGACAGATGTAGACCATTTCTATCATCATAGAAAATTCAAAAAATGGACAGTACTGCTTTGGAGGGAATTTCTGGCTCCATATTCCTTTCCGGGGTGACTTAATATATCGTGTGAACTCCAGGCCTCACTTTGGGTTTTATGAGACCTAACTGTATGCTTATATTCTCCCTTCTAACTCCAAAGATCCTTCTCCAAAGGTACATTTCAAGTACAGCGCATAGGCTTGTACCTTGGATGTAACGGAATTATTTCCAGGCATTCAAAGACTTCATGTGGGAAGAAAACATACCTGGTGGCAGGAAATCACTAGGAGAATCAGAAGGGTTCTCTCAGTCTTTTTTCTCTTAGCACCCTTCAAAGTACACAGACTCCTTTCCCTGTTCCTTTAGCAGAGCCCTACCCTGTTTCTGTGCCTAGCTTTCCTCTGAGCCACTTGAGGGTGAAAACCAGCAATACTGAAGACCTCTGAGGTTTTTGGCCCCACCTGACCCAAGTCCTGAGTGTGCAGAGAGGAGCCTGGGAGTAACCAGGGGAAGGGCAGCTCTGTTGCACTGCATATCACCTTCCAGCATCTCCAAGAATTCCACCACAAATAACTGGGACAGATCGAAAAACGATTTTCTGCTTTCTGCTAATGGTTAGCCTTGGTAGGGATCCCCTCTTTGCTTGCTTCCCCAACTCCATTTTGGAATCTTCAGTGGCAGCACACTGAATAAAGCCTTTCAAGGTCATTCATGGTGTAATCCCAACCTATCTTTCTACTTTTAGTCTCCCTTACCCAAAACCCTCACTCAGAGTAATCTGCTCTCTGTTCCTCAAACAAGTCTTATACTTTCCTACTTACCACTCTACTTAGGTTTAAGACTCTCTGTCTGTTTCTGCCTATCCAGAGATTCCCTACACTTGAAGAAACAGCCTAAACTCTCCATTTTTCAAATAAATTTTCTTGATTTCTCCAGTCATCAATCTTTTGCAGTTCCATTTATCTGTTACATCTCATTTCTTTAGCTAGTTTATAAAGAGCCAAAGACTTCAGCTGCATCTTACACTTCTGAGTAGCCCACACATTGCTCAGTACTGAAAACAGGTGACTTGTTTAAACATTTACTGAATAATACCTACTCCCTCCCAGATGTGGGAAACATAAAAGAGTGATAGATGACCTCAGGCCTCCAGGACCGCTCCTCTACTTGGGCAGCACCGGGCCTGGCAGACTGAGGCATACATCATCAATCTCCTTACAAGGATTTTATGTCAGGAGGAGGCTGACTCCACCCACTGCACCCCTTCCCCTAATTCCTGAGGCTGAACAGACCGTGATTAACCAGGAGTGCCTGCACTTAAGAACTGGGACTCCCTGTCCCTACCTGCATTCCTTACTCACCTGCAGCCTTGTCCAAGACACAGTAGTCTGGGGAGTTGTCAAAGTAGACAAGGTCAGTCCGGGTAGCATGGCGGTAGCCTTGGCGGGCTGCTGTGAAGTTGGCACCATCCTGGGTGGCTGTCACCTGCACAGCCCCATCATAGCGCCGCCGCAGGTAATCACCTGTGCGGCGGAAGTCTGAGAGTGCACGCCAGCAGGTGCGCAGAGTACAGGAGCCACTCACACCATGGCACTTACACTCCAGCTTCAGAAACCGCCGCACAGCCTGGGAGGTGGGAAGGCAGGTAAGGGAGAGGCGGCCAGTCAGGGCACATTTTAGTGATCCCAAGGACTAAGCATGAGGGCCCTGCGGTCTTCCGGCCCTGGGGAGCTAGTGGAGCCATTGGCTGTTCTTCCCCCCATTAGGTCCCACCCATTCTTCCTGCTCAGATTCAAGAACTCTTCTTCCAGGAAATCTTCCTGGACCAACAGTGCTTTCCTTTTCACGATAGCCCATTTGCACTTTAGAGCCGCAGAATTCTGTTCATGGTTACAGTATGCTGGCACATCCTCTAGTTTTCACATGTTTTAGAGTTCAAGGTACCATGCCTTCTACTTCTGTGGCACATTTCCCAGCACAGTACTAGGCCCACAGAAGGTGTCAAACACCTGTGACTTGACTAGAACAAGCTCTTGTCCTCGTCTTGCTGGAGGTGGTTCTTTTCCTTCTTAAAAAGTTATTTCCCTTCTTTTCTCCACCTTTCCCTACTTTCCACCTATGTGAAGACTCTTTAGCACCTGGTTGAACCTAGGCATTCCCAAGCTCCCTTGCATTTCCTGTTTCTGTCCCAGGGGGTTGGGGCTTTGGAAGTGATCCAGAAGCTTTCAGCGCTTCCACCTGCACATTCGTCCATGATCACACATACTGGTCACTCCTAGCAAATGCGAACGTACAAGCACAGACATGAGTACTGACCGTGCGCCCACAGCGGTTGTTATGTAAGTTCATGAGGGCCCGGGCATCCTTAAGCCTCTTCTCCTTGGCATCCACAAAAGCCTTGGCAAAGCGAACACCATAATGGATGTTGTCACTGCAGCCGCCCCAGTCAAAATCCCCACGTTGGTCATGGTGTCGGCCACGGGTATAGGGGTCACAGCTGCACACACTTAGCTCACCCTGGCTACAGGCACGAGTGATCGCGTGGACCACCCCTGCTGATGAGATGGCATATACAAAGGCTGCCTCCCGGCTACCTGGAGAGAGGCAGAAGTGTATTTCAGGACAGAGGCCCATGTCCATCCCCTTCTTTAACGCATACAACCTTTAATTCTGAAACCTACTCTCATCTCCTTGTCTCTCCCACAGCAACCCCTGCAGCCCCCTTTATTCAAGATGCCCTACCCTTCCAGAGTATCTGACCTCTTCCCCTCAGCCTTTACTACTCTCTATCCTCTTATTGGTACATCTGACCTTGGGCTGATCTGTACTCCTGCTTCCTTCCAAATTCCCTGGGTCCATTCACTGAAGTTTCACAGTGAATCATCCCCTCCCACTGAGTGCCAACCCTGGCTCAACTGAGCCTGTCTTAGCCCACATTCCAGGCCTTTTCAGGCCCACTGTGCTGGACAGTTCCCTTATAATGGAGACCCCAGCCCAGGGGTCAGCCTGTTTGGAGAGATATGCTACTTCCCCCTGCCTGCTTCTCTCCCTCCCTGTTCTCGGGGATTGATGAATCATCACTCCTGTCCCCCTGACACCTCCAGAGTCCCATCTCATTCCCTCTCTCCTAGTTTACCATCTAGCTCTGCTTAGCTTTTTTGCTGAGCTGGGGCCAAGCCACTGACTCTCCAAGTATTCACATATCACCTTTCTGTTTATCCGTTACTTCCATTACTGTAGTGTTGGGGTGAGGGTAGTGATGGTAGTGGTAAGAACAGAGCAGCCATTCCTAGTCTTCAGCTTACAGTGCATGGAAACCCCCAAGCTGAGGGTTGGGGTAGGAAGAAGAAAGATGGAGGTGCTAGGGAAATGCATCTTTGTCCTATCACTGGAATTTAGGGGGTCCCCTCCCTACATAAATAAGGTACTGAAGGTCTGTTCCCAGCTGTATCTTGGGCTCTGCCCACAACTGTCCTCTGATCATAGAGTAATGTGCAGGAAAAGGGAGGGGGGATCACGCCCACCCTACCCACTCACCACCCCTGGCATAGAAAAGCCCCTACTTCTGAGCATGACCCGGCCAAAGACAGTGTGGTCCCGGTCCAGTGTGGTGCAGTTCCAGCGGTGGTGGCGGAACTGGTGTTGACACTCTCGGATCCATTCTCGGGCACCCTCGCCCACAGACCGCATGATGTCGGGGTACCGCTGGCACAGCTGCCGCTGCCGGCTCACCAGACCAGGGATATTGTCACAGATCACTCGGGCCCCCAGTGCCCCGATGTACCTGTAAGGTGGAGATGGCCCTGTCAAGAGCATTCTGGCCCTTTTCTGCATCAGGAGGGGAATAAGGAGGGAAAGGTATAGCATGTAGACCTTGGAGAGGTTCCTTCCCCTTCCCCCACCCCACATTTCCTGAAGCCAATGGGCAGAACATTCTCACAAGCACTGGAGAAATAGTTATGCAGTTGCAGAGAGAGTAACTTAGTGGTCTCCCACCATCACCAGTTCCCTAGCCAAAGGCCACAGTGACACACACTCCCAGAAAATGGGCCAGGCATGTGTCACAGACACAGAAGCTGTGGGCATGTCACACAAACCCACTGCCTGTTTATTTAATAAACATTAAGAGCCTCACAGAAAAATAAACTAACAAACGAGAGTCTGAGACAGCCCTCTTACACCCACATGTAAGAGGCATGTCCTGCATGGCTAGTCTATGAAGACATGGTTTGGAGAAAGAAGAATGGAGACAGGGAGGGGCTAGCAGGAAGAGACATAGTGGGCCATTTTGAGTAATGTTTATAGCTCTAGACTGATCCATGTAACTAAAAATCCTCTTTCCCAATCCTGAGATCTGGGAAGGAAGATCCCATTCCCAAATCTCCTCCCTATACCCTTTATCTCCAGGCCCCATGGCCTTTCTTAACTAGTAAGTCTTTTAAAATCATCCTCCTCAACCCATAAGGCATGATATTCTGAATGGACCTGCATGGGCAGGGGGCTGTTTGCAGTGGGAAGCTAAAGGCCAAGATAAAGCAATACGGTGGCATGCCCCATATTCCAGTCCCCAGTCTGCCCAGTATGAACAATTAGAAGAACATCAGTTGGGGTGGGCTACTAAAGATAGGTGGGTTGCTAGAGTCATTCTCAAATTTCCCAAGGCAGTATGTGTTTCCTCTTCAGACAAATATCATAGCTCTGGACTCCAGCACAAGCCTCAGGAAGAACACTTCAGAGAAGACAAGAGTGCATCATCACCTTTTCTCCCCATAAGGCTACTAAAGGAGATGTGACCCATTCACCCACTTCTCACTCCTTTCTTTCTCTCCAACATCTAGCACCTTCCTTGGTTTGCTGGGAACTCTATTCTCTGAACAGATCAAAGGGACGCCTCCTCTCCCCTTTTCTAAACAGGTGGGGGCCAAGGAGGGCAGTTGCCGCTACAGACAGAAAAGATTTTGTTGTGAGCTGTGAATGAGCCTGTGGTTTGGAAAAGGCCCCAAAATGAGCCTAGAAGTGGGTGAGGAGAAGGGAGAGCGGCCAGTGGGGAGAGGGGGAAAGCTGGACTGCTCTAGGCTCTATGTCTGCCCTCTCCCCACCCCCCAGGCTCCCTGCATTTGCACACCCAGCCCTCACCCACTGACTGGGTCACCACTGGTGACACCAACTCAAACAAACACAAGGAGGGCTGATGCTTGCCTCTTCTGGAACCAGCAGGGCTGATGGGGCCCATCTGTGTCCGGGGAGGATGAGAGGGCTGGCCCACCACTAACAAATCCCGTGGAATAAGCATCCCCAGCACTGTCCATCAGGGCAACAGCTTCCAGGAACAAACAAAATAAACACCCCAGGCTGAGCCAGGCCGGAAAGGGCTGCCTGACGCACAGCCGGGAGTTACACCCACTGCCACGGTGCTTTGTTTGGAGAATCAAGACCGTTGGAGTTGGAGCTCATCCCTGTCTCACCACTGTTCTGTGTCCCCAGTTCAGCCCTGAGTATTGCTCTAGGCAATGGGTGTTTGTTTTTTTTTCTTAGTGGGGCTTGGGAAGAGGGGGGTTGGATGGGCATGGGAGACCATAATCCAGCCCTCATGAGACAGTCTGGAGTGGGGCAGGCCAAATCCTGGCAAAAAGTCCTTCCTGTGGTCTGACTTAAATCCATTCTGCTGCAACCCACATTGGTCCTTCTTGTTACATCCTCACTGAGTGTGGGAACATCTGTTCAGTTTCTAAGATGGGAAGATAATTACGTTTCTCTACTACCACCCTTCTCCCATTAAATAGCTCTTCAAGATTCTGCAGAGCAGGACACTTGCCTGCTGACTAGTGGCCAGCCCCTTGTAGTTGGTGTGAGGGTGTCCAATAAAACTGAGCCTGAGGCCTAACCCATCTCCTTCTCAATTCAACACATGCCTGCAAAATGCCTACTATGTGCCCAACACTGAGCTCAGTTGTTGAGGCCTCAAAGATGTTTAAGGCATCCCCAGCTCAGGGGCTGGTAGAGGGGCCAAGAAGCCCCTGACTCTAATTCTGGGTTTCCTTCCCAGATTCCTACCCCAGAATGCTCTCTTCTCCTACTTCCAACCAAATCACGTCCCTTCTTTTTACTCAAACTTCAAACCCTGCTCTAGCCCTGGCTTTTCAAAGTATGGTCCCCAACAGTGATATCAGCATCACCTGGGGAACTGGGAAATGCAGAGCCTCAGGCCCCACACCAAGCCTACTGAGTCAGAATCAGCATTTGCCAACATCCCCAGGTGATTCAAATGTATTGCTCCATGAACACAGAGATTTTTGCATTTTGTTCATTATCCCCTAGAATGGTGTCAGGCACATAGTAGGTACCTTATAACTTTGCTGAATCAACACCTAACTTCTCTGATTTACCCTCAGCTCCCTTCTCCCCCTAGTCACCATAATCTTCATTTCAATTACATCTTTCCTCCTTGTTGACATTGCCTATTTACAGATGTTTAATGTTTTGTTTTTTAATGAGATCAAGGATACTCCGTTTATTTCACCTCTTGTTTTTACAGGCCCTAGTGTACATCACTCAGCTGAGCCCACATAGGGCTTTGAATACAATTATTACCCTCCCTGAATCTCTTAATCCAACATCAGCTATATGTTTATAGTTCACAAAACATATTCCTGCACAAAAATCCTATGAGACAGAGAGATCTCCATTTTACAGATGAAGAAACTGAGGTACAGGGAGATTAAGTGATAATATCCAGCTCTGTCCATCAGGGCTAGTTAGAGAACCAGGAGACATCTGACACCAAAATCCAAGCTCATTCTCATTCCAAGGACAAGAGAGACACCTTGCACAGCCAGAAGACCAGTCTGGCTCCAAAATTGGTGTGAACTTGAGTAAGTTTCTTACCATTCCCTTTGTATCCCTCACTGTCTTCATGTATGAAAGGGGATAATAATAGTATCTAACTCACTGAATTATTTTGAGGACTTAAGATGATGCTCATAAGGTGCTTAGCCATAGTGTATGGAGCTTAGTAAGGGGTCATTAAATGGCAGCTGCTTTTGGTAACAATAATACTAATACTGTGATACCCCTCTGTTCCTCTCCGTTTGTGAAGCCATGAACACAGTTTTGCTCTTGTGATTCCCTACATCCATCCCCTGCAGAATGCAAAATGGAACAGGGGAGCACATGCCTCAGCCCCTATTTCTTGTTCTGTTTGTCATGAGTTAAGAAGAGACCATCTGTTGTCTCCTCCTCTAGTTACAGGTGGGGAGAAGGAAGGAGTGGTCAGAGAATAAGGGGGAAAGGGCTGTGAGGAAGATCACACAGCTAGTGGCAGTGATGACCTTCTGCTCCTGATGGGACATGGACACACACAGTCTTCCAGGGGTTGTACGGAATATCAATCTTGCTGGGTTTTTTCTTAAGGGAAAGAAAGATAATCACCTTGGGGGCCTGACCTGCCTTTAGAAAGCAGTTTTCCTCTTACTGCAGAAGTGATGACCACTGAGGCAGGCATCCGGGCCTGCAGCTCGGACCAGCGTGAGGCAAGGAGACTAAATTAACCTCTCTGTACTCCCTCCCCACCCTGGCCCTGTTGCTGCCTTCCTCCATTTCATAGGGACCACTGACTCTCTCTGTATCATCTGCCTGCCTGCCTCTCTCCCTAGCTCTTCCATCCAGGAGTTTTTTGAAAATCTTTAATATGAACCACGTGGAGGGTAGAATAGCAGAGGAATAAAAGAAGACAGAGAGGGAGTAGCCAAGGGGACAAAACAGGGATTAGGAGGAACCCAGGCTGGGTTTTTAGGAACTACTACCAGGACGCTGAAATGATCAGCGACACTTCCTCACCTAAACACCACGTGTCCCCAGGACTGTCTCCCAAACTGGTAAGCAATCAAGACTCCCTAAAAGCAGACTGTCATCTGAGATGGATAGAAATAGGCAGTGGTCATTTCATCCTCTCTCTACAGGGCCACTGAAGACTCAAGTCGCCAGCCAAACGGGCTGTGAAGGAAAAGGATGGCTTTGATTTCACTCTGAACTTGGAAAGGCTTTTTCTCCTGTCCCCTTCTTCCCTTTCCCTTTCTAAAGGAATGTTTCAAGCCAGATGTAAGATACGGGCCTCCCTTCTCCCCATCCAGAACCCCCCTCCTTGCCTTCCCCAACACTGTAGAGATAAAAAAGATCCAGAAGAGATTTTTCTAAAACAGGAAAATGGGGGCTGGGGGTGGGGGGTGGAGAGAGATACATCTTGAAATGATAGGAATCTGCAGCCCAAGCTTGCTGGTCCTTCAGTCAGCAATCCCTCACCCTTCCAGCCAAGATTCCAAGTCAAGAGGAGAAAAGTCACAGGGTGCACATGGAGAAGAGACCACACTTGGGTGGGGGCTGGAGTAAGGAAAGGAGAAGGGCACTGCCTGGGTAGAGGGAGCAACAGCCCAGTCAAGAGGCCAGTTTGATAGTTGGTGGAGGGCGGGTGAAAACGGAAGATTGAGAAGACAAGTCTTTTCTCAGTTCAACTCCTCCCCCCTGTGCTGCACCCAGAAGGTGGGGGAGGAGGGCAGGACTTGTAAAAGAACCGACATCCAGTTGATTTTCAATGCCTTTTATCCCATCTGTCTTATTGTGAAGTGTCTGAAGTCAAAGCCCTGCAAAAAATCTGAGAAGAGGGTCTCTTAATACTTAGGGACTCCAAAAGCCTCTAGTTCTGGGAGGTGAGAGAGAGGAGATGGGGTCGTCTGGGGAAGAACGAGGAAGAGGGAAGGTAGATACCAAGATCGGAAACGACATCTTCAAAAGAGGCTGAAGACAAACGCCTAAATTATGCAAACCCAATGTTTGTTTTAGTGGTGGGAGTTTAATGGGGGTAGTTTTGCCACCATTCCTTTTGGAAACCTTGCCCTGGGGGCTGCCGCCTCATCAAAGCCTGACAGCATTACCGGGTGGACTGCCCTTGCCCGCTGCCTTTCTCCACCTCCCGAGGTGGGGAGGCGGACGGCCCCCGAAGGCCACAGGTGGGCGACTAGTTCCTTGAATCCATCCTGAGAAACTCGGGGTCAGCGTTTGCGCTAAGGGGATTGAACTGGAACAGGGGCACAGCACAGCAAATGGGGGTCTTGAAAGCCTCCACCAAGGGCGTCCTTGCTCCAAATCCCCAGCGAATACCTCCTGGGCGGGGAGGGAGTGGCGTTCTCCCATTCCCCCAATCCCCACCATTCTGCGACTTCAGTGACAGTTTTCGGGGATCGTCTCAACGCCGTCGAAGCGACAGCCTAGTCTCCTGAGCAGCCCGAGCCCCAGCGCCTGGCCCCTCACCCGGATAGCCGCACTCACCACCAGGACGTGTCTACGCGGGACGGCAGCGTCAGTAGCAGCAGCAGCAGCAGCAGGCAGGCGAGACTCGCGCGTCCCGAAGCCCGAGAGCTGTCGGGGACCGCGGGTCTGGACACGGGCGCCGGGGCGCGGATGCGCCGGGAGGGGAGCTGCACGGCTTCCTCCGCACCACCCGGCCTCAGCATAGCTCCCCGGAGGAGTGGACAGGGCGCTGTCTGGAGGGATTCAGGCCGCCCCTACTTCACCCCCCTGGGGGGCCATAGGGCTCGCTGGCGACTAGGCGTCCAGGGGCACCTGGAGTCCCGGAGAGGCGCAGAGCGCGGTGCCCGGGAGCCGACGACGGCGCGCCGAGCTCGGGTCTGGGCGCAGGCTGCGGGGTCAGGGGGTCTGCGGCGCAGAGTGGGGCTGCGGGCAGAATGTGCGGACAGCCCCTTCGGCCGCAGGCTCTCATTGGACGGCGCGGGGCGGGGCCGAGGCCGGGGACACGCGCGGCCCTCGGGGCGGCTCCGCCCGCGCCAGCCCCGGACGCTCCGCGGCGCCCGAGGTGTGGCGGCCGCTTCCGCCCCTCGGCGCTCAGGCGCAGCGCCGCGCCGCACCCCCACCTGCCCCTGCGGACTGCCGCGGGGCGCACAGGCGTCCTTCAGTGCCCCGAACGCCCGGTCCCTCCCGGCGCCGCCCCACGGGTCCTAGCGCCCTTCTTCCGGAGAACCCCCCCACCCCACTTCCGTGATTAACAGCCACGAGCGCGGAGAGATGGGCTGCAGACACCTTCCCGTCTAATCGACAGTGACACTAGGGCTAAGCCACTCATTTCCTCGAGTCGTCTCTCCATTCTTGCGCATCTGTGAAATGGGTAGAATCACTGCCACGGGAGGTTGCAGGCGAATCTTAACTTCTTTTTCAATGCTGGCAACTGAGTCGTCGTAGGCGGCCGGCTTCAGGCGGGGACGTCTCTCATCAAAGGCTCGTTGTCCCTGGTCCATCCAACCCACTACCCACCGCACTCCCGCAACCGCCACACCTCCCGCCATAACGTTTAGACTCGGCTCCTGCCCGCCTGTGGACCCGGAATCCCGGGCCGGAACGGAGGGGGGCGCACCTGCGGTTCGAAAGCAGGCTCCCGCCCTTTACTGCCCCGGCTCAGCAGAGCCTAGTCTCTCGGCTTCCCCCGAGCCTCAGTTACCCCACCCCCTCGGGCGGGGCTGAGAGTAAGAAAGAATCAGAAACAGCTGGGCGGCTTTCCCGAACCAGAGGCCAGGGTGGGGGTCCTGCTGAGAGAATGGAAGCCCCGGAGCCATTTCTCTGATTCGTCTTTCCTCTCTGCCTCCTCCCCACTGCTCCCCCAGCACCCTCAACCCCCGCACACCGCGTGTGGTTGTGGTAAGTCGGAAAGGGACACGGAGTGCCGACTGCGAAAGTGACTCCTCTCTTCTCCCCAAGACTTTCCTAGGCTGGCAGGTAGAGCCTCTGGGGGTCAGAGTGGCCCTTATTGAGATGTAAAAAGTTTTTTTTAACTTGGGTTTTCCAATTTCGAGTTTGCCCGGGGTCTGGCCCCAGCCCCTTCTCCAGCCTCAGTTTCTCTCACCTAGCATCTCATCCCAGGTGTCTTTCCTACCTTTCCCCCTGACTTACGTAAACTACAAAGCCCTGGTGTAAACAATGCGCTGGAAACTGCTCACTCTCCTCATCCCCAAACTCACTGTCAGTTCTTGGTTGGGTGGGGGTGCCGTGTTAAAGACGCCAGAGTGTGAGCGGACAGGGTGCAGCTGGCTTTGGAAAGGCTGCAGACATCCCAGAGGCAGAATAGGAGAGAAGGGCGCTCAGGGACCTTTATTCCCTTCCCACTCCTTTACCTCACTTTCTGTGGCAGGGGGCAAAGGCAAAGTGCATTCATTAATCCAACAAATATTTATTTATTCCCTACCTTGTGCCAGACTGTGCTAGGCACTGAGGATACATCAGTGAACAAGGCAAAACAAAACAATTTCTGCCTTCATGGAGTTTACCCTTCTTTTAAGAACAGACAATGAACAGCAAACATCTTAAGTAAATCATGCAGTATGTTAGAAAGTGATAAATACAGTAGGGGTAATGCTTTTAACTAGGATGATCAGGTTGACCTCATTAAGGTGACATTCAAGCAAAGACTTGAAGGAGGTGAGGGAACAAGCCAGGCAGATTGGTGAAGAGCATATCAGGCAGGGGGAACAGCGAGCACACAGACCCTAAGGTGAGAGTGGGCTGGTATGCAAAAAATAGCAAGGGGACTGGCCAGCTGGAGTGGAGCTAGGGAGGAGGGGAGGGATTCAGATAGGTAACAGGAGTGGTCCAAGGGGAAGTGGGGGCTGGACTGAAGTCAGAAGGTAGAGGGAGAGGGTGAAATACAGAGACCAAGCATGGTCAGCATGCTGGCTGTACCCCTTCCTACCAGTCAGCTGACCCGTCCCCTCCCCTTCTCTTCTTTCTCTCAGTTTGGGAGGCTCCAGTTGGTCCTTCTATTTCCTTAAAAAGAAGCAGACTCCATGGTGAGCTTCCCTAAGAGGAGCAGGTAAGAGGAACGGACCCAGGCACTCTGCTGGCTGGACCCCTTTCCTTGGACCACTCTTCCTCTGGGCCCAGCCCCACCCTGATGGTTGCGGGGTGGGGAGCTGGAGATGATCACATCAGCCCTAACCTTGGGTGGACTCGCCCACATGGGCCCCAGACTCACTTATGAGGCCCCTTCTTTGGCTTCAGCTCTCTTCATAGTCAAGTGGGACCGTGTCTTGGCAAAACATACTCAACTATTAAAGCATGTTGCTGAACTGAGGGGGCCCCCAGAAACATCAGCAGCTCTGAGACAGAGGGAAGTAAGTGGGTGTGGGGACAAGGCTTCTCCCCAGTGCTTAAGGCTACCTATGCCCTAGAGTGGACAACCAGGATGGGGCTTTGCTCTTGCCTCTTCTCCCCTCCCTTCTGGGCCCCCAGCTCCCCAGGAGGAACCCCAGGCTGCAGGAGCCAGCTGACTGCAAGAGCTGCACTCAACCACTTAACTAGAGAACAAATCCGGAGCCAGAGAAGAGGTTTTCTGGGATCTGCCACTTTGGACTTCGAATCTCAAAATAAACTTCCAATCTCAAGGTCCTAGACACTGTTGGAGAGCTCAACTCCTCACGCAAAGGCCTGTCATAGGGCTTCCAGGCAGAAGGTCAAGGCCAGAGGTTCAGGCTAGTGCTTGACCTGCTCCTCCCTCCCATCCCCCAGCCCCACTCTATGTAATAGGAAGCAGGAGAGGAGTCACTGATCTGGGAGTCAAGCTCTGGTTTGGAGGGTGCTATGTGGCATCAGGTTGGCACTTCCTGAGCACCTGCTGGATGTGCAGCACTGGCCAGATCATCCTAAATGACACAGAAGGAGTAAAAGGGTTTTATTCTCAAGGAATTTTCTTGTAAATACTGTAAAGCCATCAAAGGAAGGCAACACCAGGCTCTGCTGTTAAGGCTGCAGGCTGCAAATTTGGGGAGTAGTGTCAGCAGAGACCTGAGGAAGAATCCCAGACCTCTTCTGCCCTGAAGGTGTCTAGATTCCCTGGGCCCTCCAACAGGACATCTTCTACCCAGCCAGCAAAGCCAAGTCTTCCTTTCTCCTTAAGGTGGCACCATAGCCTCCTGCCCTCTCAAAAGTGAGTGCCCAAAGAAAGATCCCCTCTCACTCTTGATACCTCACCTCATGCTCTGCTCTGCTGTGGAGCCACTTCAAGATTCATCTTCTTTCACTCTATTCTCAGCTGTATGTGGCTGAATGATTTTGACTTTTTACTGGGCCTTGCATGGGAGTGGAGATGAACTAAGGGAAGCTCTGGTGTGGGTAAACAGTTCTTAGTCCACCCAGGGTCTGCCCCCCTTAGCGGCCCCCCTTCCCTGGGCCCCTTTGGTGATGACCTTCTCTCTTTCCCAGTGGGTGGGAGGTGGTGTGGATGGTAATGAGCAGAGAGAAAGGCCGAGAAGGGGCTGGGGGGAGGTTTGGATGGGAGTCAAGGAATTCCTGAGCCTGCTGCTTGCACAAGGGGCCCTGAGACGCCTTCCTTGAGATTTCTTTGCAAACCTAGGCAAGTCTCATCTGAAATGGGGCCAGGTTCACACAGGCCCCTAGTGCTGCCCCCCACCCCTTCCATCTTTCCCTCCCCAGCCACCCCATGCAGGTGTCTAGGGAAGAGAAGGGAGCTTGGGAAGAACCCAGGGTCTTTTAAGTGGGGTGAGGTGGGGATCTATGCTTTGTACATAGCCTGACTGGCCTCTCCTTGGTATTTATGAACTCCCAGACAAGGCACAGAACGTGGCCAAGCCAGGAGGACTTTGAGGGTAGGGGCATCCAGGCCCAAATCAGAGAAGGGGGCTTGGTGGGGCAGGGCTGGAGACAGTGGTCCTTTCCTCCCAGCCCGTGGCCAGAAAGGGTTAGACTGCTCCTCAGGGGAGCAGGAGAAAGGAAGAGGGAGCTAAGGGAGAAGGAGAAAGAAGAAGGGGGAGCTGGTGGAGACGGGACCATGGGGGTGGTTGGGGTCTGGAGCCTTTTAGCACTTTGCTTGTAATCAGACTGGAGCCAGGCATTGGGTGGGCTGACAGCCATCCTGGGCGGGTGGCCCAGGTTCTGTGTGAGGCCCTGGGCATGCTGCTGGGATCCTGGGTGGTCACTGACCAGCCTAACCCCAAGGGAGGGTGGTTCTCACTTTGCCCTCAGCCCCCCTCTCCCAATCTGCTGAATCAAATAGAGCTCTCTTTCCTCCACCACCTGTTCTGGGCCCTGGAATGATCTGGAAGTGAGATTTCCTTCTGACAAAAATATGCAGAGCTCACTATCTGCCTCCCTCCCACACTGCCTGCATCTATCCACTCTGCCTCTTGCTCTCCTTGTGTCTCTTCTCTGTGTCTCTCTGGCTGATATTTCTCTCACTTTGTGTCTGTTCCTCTCTCTCTTGTCTCTGTGTCTGTGTTCATTTGTCTTTCTGTGTGTCTGTGTCTGACTGCCTTTCCTCCTCTGTATGTATCTCTGTATCCCTGTCCATCTCTTAATGTGTACTCTCTCCTTTTCGGTAGGGATCTGTGTGGCTGTCTCTCTCACTCTTTCACTCTCCGCATGTCTCTCTCCATGTCTTTTCTGACTCGCTGTGGCTTTCTCAGTGTCCCTCTCCCAGTATGTGTGTGGTGTGTGTCGGTGCTCCTCTTTTTTTTCCCTCAGTGTGTTTCTCTCTGTGTTTGCTCTCTTGTCTCTGTCTCTCTCTTGCTCTCACTCTCTTGTCTCACACCCTCCTCTGCAGTCCCTGCAACACAGTGAAAAGTGCACTGAACTGAAAGAAATCAGAACACCTGAGTTTTTCCCAATTCAGCCATGCACAACTTGCATGACTCTGTAAGTCACTTTCTCATTCCTGGCCTTAGTTTCCTCACTGTTGAACCAAGTAGAATGAAATCTAGTTCCCTCTGTGGGGGCCTCTTTCTGTCTCTCTCTCTCTCTCTCTTGTTTCTTGTAGCGCAGTCCACCCTGCTCTCTGAGACTTCTGCTTCTCTGCTCCTTAAATTTGACCATGAAGTTAGGACTCCAGCATCCTTGAGACCCTAGTGGGAAGGAGTCTTTGATA